CAATATCATGCAGATATAGAATTAAATGGTAATAGAACTAGAGGACAAGTAGTACTTGATCATTTATTATCGAACGAACCTAATGTGTTTCTAATTCAACAGTTTGATTCAGAAATGTTTAAAGATCTGTTAATATCTTCTGTTAACATGTAATGTAATTGTTAAAATAATGATAAAATATTACAATTATACATATAACACATATATGTTCATACAAGACATAAATGTTTACATATTTCTGTTTATATTCTCATTATGATATTATTATAATTAAAGTAATTCTACATATATTTTTAGTTACCTTCAGTAGGAATGTTTAACGTTTATACATTAAGAGATGTTGTATTACATTGTACTAAGAAATAATACAAATGCAATATATACGAATAACTACCTCATTATAAAATATATTTACAGCAGGCGATCTGCAATAACATAAATAAAAGTTGGTTATATATCAATTTATACAATAGAATACATTAATATTGCTTAATTTGAAATAATAGGTTATGTACCTCCAAAATATAACATTATGAGTTTGACTTTCCTAAATTTTGACATTCTTGAAATTGCCTCCTTGCTTCTTTATTTGATTGTAGTAAATCAATTAATTCTGCATGTATCACATCATTTTTTTGTTCAAGGTTATCCAAAACCGAATTCAATAAATCCAGCTGAGCGTTTATTGCCTCAAATTCTAAAAATGACATATAAATATGTAAGAATCTCTAGTTAGGAATACAGACAATTAATTATTTAAGTAAAATCATTATAAAGAGAGTTGATAATTATATATACATACATATGTATTTTAATTATTCGAAATACTAAACGAATTGGAAACCATTCACATTACAACACAATTTCTTTTGAAGAAAAATATATATTTACCTGCATCGTTACAATTTTCTTCACTTTCTTCATTTTTCCATCCATTGTTATCATGGTTTTGATGATTTTCTTCTGGCTGCTCTGCGTGATGGACCATATTTTCGTCTGCCATTTGCATTACCTAGCGCTGGTATAACATACGAGCA